TGAGGTCTTATAAAAGAAAACCATCAAAGAATAAGCTCCACTAATCAAAAAGTGACTAGAGATGACATATTCAATTATAAAGCCTAATATTAAACAATTCTGGGTATTATGATTAAAGAACAGAATACAAACGTTACAAACTATGACAGTATTAAAGAGTAATTAACTTAAACAAAAATTTAAAAAAACATTTCTACTGAAAAACTCTGTTTTTCCTCACCTTTCTCAGTTGAAGAAAATCAACACATCACTTTAAGGATAATTAAGTATGTTGAAGTATAAGGATAATGATTAAAAGAACTAGGAATACTAAAATCAAATCAAATTGAGTGAAGGGAGATGGAGAAGGGGGTAAAGGGTTAAAGTTTAATAGTTTCTTTCTCATAGTGAGAAGTCAATGGATACTGTCTGTGGAGGTAATGCAAAATTAAAGAATTAACTTATAAACAGTGAATAATTTTTTTTTTTAATTTTTTTTTTTCAACGTTTATTTATTTTTGGGACAGAGAGAGACAGAGCATGAACGGGGGAGGGGCAGAGAGAGAGGGAGACACAGAATCTGAAACAGGCTCCAGGCTCTGAGCCATCAGCCCAGAGCCTGACGCGGGGCTCGAACTCACGGACCGCGAGATCGTGACCTGGCTGAAGTCGGACGCTTAACCGACTGCACCACCCAGGCGCCCCTAAACAGTGAATAATTAAAAATGAACTATAAACCTTCAAAACTGTTAAAACATTCACACACAAAAGAAATAAAACATCATATGGAGAAATCTTAATGACAGGATTAAATGGATGCATAAAATTTATGCATTTACTAATATTTACTGAGCACCCTGTAAAAGTGTGTTAATTTCCAAATATTTGGGATTTTCCCACATGTCATTCCATTCATCTTTAACGTAATTCTGTTATTGCCAGAGAATTATTTTGTATGATTTCAATTTTTAAAATTCTGGTAAAGTTTGCCTTATGGTTCAGAATATAATCTGTCTTCATGGATATTGCATGTACACTTGAAAAAATGTGTGTATTTTGCTATTGTTGGGTAGATTGCTCCAGAAATGATTATTGGATCCACTTGGTTAAGAGTGTTACCTAGGTCTTCTGTATCCTAATTCATTTCTCTACATACCTTTTCCATCAAGCATAGGTGTGGACTTTTCTATTTGTCTTTTCAATTCCACCCATTTTTTACTCATGTATTTTAAAGCTTTTTCATTCAGGACATGAAAATTTATGATTTTTATGTCTTCTTGCTAAATTTACCATTTTATGATTATGTCATGTCTATTTTCTTCCCTAGTAACGTTTTCTGAAGTGCACTTCAGAAAAGTAATTAATATAAGCTATTAATATAACAGCTCCCATTTTTTTTTCACCATTTGTATGATACATTGTCCATACTTTTTAACATATAGATCTTTATATTTAAAATGGGTTTGTTGTAGACAGCATATAGTAGGTATTTTTTTCAATCTGATAACACATCTTTAATTAGTATGCAGTCCCCTATAGTTAATGAAATTATTAACACGGTCATTTAGGTCTAGCATTTTATTATTTATTTTGTTTTCTCTCCCCATTGTTGTTCTTCCCTTCATCCTTTTGGGTCTCCTTTTGGGTTATTTGAATATTTTTTTAATTTGATAAATTTATATATTTACTTTTTTTTTTATTATTATTATTATATCCCGGTTACTGTTGCTGCTGTTAGTGCTACTCTGGAGATTACATATACCTAATTTTTCACAGCTTATATTTAATATCGTGCCACTTCAAGCAAAATGTAAAAGGCCTACCATAGAGTTCTCTATATACTCCCCATTTTATGTCATGGTTGTCATATGTATTATACCTAAAAGTTCCTTGATCTGAATATCCCACATCTGAACATCGATGATTCAATGTGATGATTTTTACCTTTAATATTCATACATATTTTAGAGAACTTAAGAGGAATATTGTAATATTATATTTTTATATATACCATTCCTGACCCTCCTGAAATTCCACTCTCTTCTGGCCTTTATGGGCTTTTTTCTGAGTAATCTGTTAACATTTATATCATTTCCCTTCTATATAAGGTGTCCTTTTTCTCAGACTGCTTTCTGTAATTTTTTTTTTTTTTTTTTTTTTTTTTTTTTTTTTTTTTTTTTTTTTTTTTTTTTTTTTTTTTGGTCAGTATTTTATGAAGTTTCACTGTAATGATTCTGGCCATGTTTTTCTTTGAGTATATCCTGCTTCGTTTTGCTGGGCCTTTTGAGTCTATACGTTTACGTCTTTAAATATATTTGGGAAGCTTTCCACCATTGTTTCTTCAAACATCTTTTCTATACTAATCTCTGTCTCCTCTTCCTCTGGGACTTCGTGAAAAGAATGTTAGACCTTTCCCTATTGTCCCCAGACCATGAGAATCTGTTCATTTCCTTCCAAATTTTCTTAATCTCTCTTCTTCACAGTGGATCATTTCTACCGATTCATCTTCCAGTTCACTGTCTCTTCCTTTTACCATCTCCATCTGCTATTGATCCTATCCTGTAATTTAAATACTGTATTTTAAAGTTCTAAGTCTTCAATATCATTTTTCTTTATACTTTCTATATCTCTGCTGAGAGATTTATTTGTACTCATGTAAGCCATCAGTTTTTCTTTCCTCAGAAATGATAGCAGAAATACTTGCTGTAAAGCATTTGCCCCTTCCAGCATCTTGGTAGTCTTGGGGCATCTGTTGATTGTTCCCTTCGGAATGGATCACACTTTCCTCATTCTTAAGTGTCAAGTCATATTAGATTGTATCTCAGACATTTTGAATATTAAGTTGTGACATTCTGGGTAATGTGGAATCCTCTGGAGAACTGCTTGTTGCTGTTTGCTTCTTTTAGGAGGCAATAAGTTGGATTCAGACCAGAAGTTCTGCTGCACCTTCAAATGGTAGGAGATCCAGGGTCAGCTCCGCTTTCAAAGCCTTAGCTATGCTGTTTTGAGTATGACTCACTCATGGGACACCCGTTGGTTTGCCTGGAATTCTGGAAGTAGTTTGTACCATAGATAAGTTCTCAAGGGTCTTGTTATCCTAGTTTCGATAGGTCTCACATGTGCATAGCTCAGAAACCAGCACAGGATGTGTGCTGCTGCATACACTGAATTAGGGGATCTCTCTCTATGGGTTGTTCATCTCCAAGAATCTTCCCACACTTTTTGAATTGCAGAGCCTATTTTCATCAGCTGACCAGAAATATGGGGTTTCTCTTAGAGTGAAGCAGCTGCTTCAATTCAGCTGAGCTGCAACTCCATAACTGGGTCCTTTCCCTGGGTAAGGCACCAAGATAAAGGAGGCAGAAAAAATATGTAAAACTTATTTCACACTCTTCAGATCACAGGGGCTCTCTCTCAGTTCCCTTTTCCAAAAGGATGTGGTATCATCCCTCAGAATTTGAGCTGTCTGTGACACTGTCACTGCTCTGTAACAAGAGCTGCCCTGGATGGGCAAACAGAGAAAAGAGAGGGAAAGAAAGAAAAAAACACTATTTCCCTTATACTCACCAGTTTGCAGGAACGACTTTTCACAGTTCCCTGGCCAGAAGTCTTGATTTTCACTTAACGTATTTTCTGCCTGTATCATAACAACCATAGCTCTGCATTGGGGATCTGTTCTTAGTGATAAGCTATGAGAGAAAATATCCAAAAAACCTCACCTGCCCATGGGATGCTTCTTCAAGGCTGATTCCCCTCTACAAAATACCAGATGTTCTTTACTTTTTTTCCTTGTCTCAGGTACTTAATTTGCATTTTTGCAAGACTGTTTAATCTAAATAATGGGAAAAATAGGCTGTGCTGAGCTTATTATATTTGGACACCACAATGGAGTCTTACAAAACACTATAAAAAAATCATACATTTCTATTTGGCTCATTTCTCTAATTATAACTAATGTAGATTTTTGGATAAGGAATACACAGGGGAGGGAGGGAAGATGGCGGTGTAGGGGGACGCTGGGCTCACCGCGCGTCCTGCTGATCACTTAGATACCACCTACACCTGCCTAAATAACCCAGAAAACCTCCAGAGGATTAGCAGAACAGAGTCGCTGGAGCCAAGCGCAGACGAGAGGCCCACGGAAGAGGGTAGGAAGGGCGGCGAGGCGGTGCGCGCTCCACGGACTGGCGGGAAGGAGCCAGGGCAGAGGGGCGGC